CCCCCCCCAAACCCACCCCAGTCCTTGGGTAGCCAACTAGCTGGAGAAACAGAAGCAAGAAGTCCTGGAGGCTGGACTACATCTCCCCAGACATCCCTATAAACCTGCACTTTTGCTCTAGGCCATCTGGGTACATCCAGGGCACAGTCTGAGAACCACTGATGGAAGTCTTAACTTTGCATTCAAGACAATATGTACTTTGTGCCCACCCCATCTTTCCTATGTTATCTTCTTCTCTTATATTGTACACAGCCCGTGACCCAGCTACACCTGACCCCCACCCCCAACTTTGGCTAGTTCTTCCTTGTTTTATTTTTTTTTAAAAGATTTATTTATTTATTATGTATACAGTGTTCTGCTTGCAGGCTGGAAGATGACACCAGATCTCATTACAGATGGTTGCGAGTCACCATGTGGTTGCTGAGCATTGAACTCAGGACCTCTGGAGAGCAGCCAGTGCTCTTAACCTCTGAGCCATCTCTTCAGTCTCCTTGTTTTATGTTTTTATTCGGGTTGCTACTTCCTGAAATGAATTTTCCTGTCTAAACTGCCAGGGTAATTCCAGGTTCAGATACTGTTTTCTTTGTCAAGCCCAATGCCTTTGTATTTTCTCTGGGCTAACGTTACGGCCTTTAGGATACGATCTCATAGTTATTTATATGCCCACTTCCCCGCTCAGCTAAGTCTGGGGCCTTGTTTAGCTCATTTCCACGACACCAGCACTCAGTATGGGCCTGGCGCGGGATAGGCTTCATAAATATTCCATGAGTTGTAGGTAATTGAATTTCTTCTTGACCTGGCGTGGACTGTGGCACCCTAGCCTTCTCCTTAGATTTGGGGCAGTCACTCCAAGCCAGGGTCTTTCTCCATCCTTCAAGGATTTTTGAAATCTGTGACCCCTTTTAAAAGCAAAGGGGCATGCTCTCTTCATCTGTCTACCTGTTGCTACCCAGTCACTCTCCGTTCACCAAAGCTTCCAGTGCTGCCCCTTGACTAAGGAGCAAGGGAATGGGGACTCTATCAAGTTCAAGTCCTGGTACCTTCATGGACTGACTGTGTGACCTTGGGCTTTCTGGGTCAGTTTACACACTTTTGAGATTACAAAAAAAAAAAAAAAATTCAGTTCTATTCCCCCTGCAACCTGGTTGCTGGATAGTCTTCTGTTTCAGCATGTATTTCTAAATGTATTTCTATCTTGCCCTCACTTTCCCTCCTTGGGACGCTCAGTTTAATGCTCTGGTCCTCACAGGCCTTGTGTCTTTGCCCCCTTCCCTGTCTCTTCCTGGAGTCAGCAGCATTTACAAGAATGGAGCTAAGGAGCCGTGGAACACTCAGTTCTTCCCTTTCTAGCCTCAGGGCAGAGTCTCAGTGTGAGCCAGCTGGGGAAAGTCGCAGGGAACAGGAAGGGTTCACACACAAGGAAGGCAGGATATGCTCTTAAATACATGTTTTCAATGTCCTCATCTCAAGTTGTTGGGGAAATAAAAATAATAAGAAATCAGAACTCAAGCCCCTTCCCCGTATCGCATCAGCGGCTTATCACTTCCTAGGGTTTAACCTGAAGCTTCCTCCTTATTCAGCTTCCTGTATGGTCTGCAGACCCTGGCATCTTCTCCAGCTGCACTTGCGTCTCCTCTCCACTGTTCCGTTCCAGCCTCCCTAAGTTCCTTAGACCCGCCAGCCTATCTTTGCACAGGCTAGCTCCTCTGGCTGAAAACTGTTCCTTCCCATCGGTCTGCTTGAGGCTGGCCCCTCATACTTGAGGCCTCAGATCACAAGGCATCATGCCCCTTCCTTAGCAAAGGCCTCTTGGAAAGTGTCATCTAAAGCAGGACCCCCTTCCCAGCGTTCCTTGTTGCCGAGCTTCATTTCCTTGAGGGTGCTTGTCTCCGACTGCGGCTCCATCTATTTATATTTGCTGCACCACCCCCTGCTGGAACGGAAGTTTCATGAAGCCTTCATGAAAGCAAGGGCCGTGTCTAGAACCATTTATCAGTTACCCTCTCATTCATTTCTTATTGCGCCTGCCAGATACCCGGCCCTGAGGGACAATGCTTCCCTAGGGGAGCCCACATTCTGAAGACCGTGATAACTACCAAATCCATCAAATTGCAGGGGTCTGTTTAGAACTGCAGCAACCCTCGCCCCCCACTGTTAGTTCCTCTCACCTTTCTTCCTCTCCCCCCCATCATGTAAGCTTCATGAGGGTGGAGATTTTTTTTAGAATTAATTATATGTCTGTTTATGCGCATGAGAGTGCAGTGCCCTACAAGGCCAGACGTGGTGAGCAGATACCCTGAAGCTGCAGTTACAGGCAGTTGAGCCACTGAACAAGGGCTCTGGGAATCCATTCTGGGTCCTCCGCAAGAGCAGTATGTGCTCCTAACCACTGGACCATCTCTCCAGCTCCCAGAGAGAGACTTGTTCATTTTATTTTATTTTAAAATTTTTGACAGTTTTATATCTCCTCCGTGGCCTGTTGAACCAATGACCCCATGTCTTGTCAATATTTGAGGAACAATGGCTTTCCAGATGTGCGGTTATTTCTTATGCTGTTCGAGCCAGCCGACCTTGATGCAGGTCTTGCTGTTGCCTCAGACGGATGCATAATTATGGAAAAGTCACGCTCTATAAATCTCAATTTTTTTCAACGGTGTAACGGGATTACAGTGGTCTGTGCCTCCTAGGGCAATGGGGAAGATTAACGGAGTCCCAGCGGGAGAGGCACGTACATGACGCCTGGTTTTATGTAGTCACTGACAACTAGTTTGCTGGCGATTGTGCAAGAACTTGGCCTGGGCAGAGTTCCAAATTTATTTACCCTGAGTAGCCAGAGGCTACTGTAGGAGATACGAGCGTTAATGAGAGAGGTAGATTTCATGTTTCTGAAAGTAAGAGCCAGAATTCTAAAGGTCCAACAACGATTTTTTGGTAGGTTGAAGAGTGCCCTGTCATTGGAGGGAGGTGGGAATGAATATTCCGAAGGGCCAAGGTAGAAAGAAGTTAAACAACGGAGGGGACAGAGGAACCAAGTGTCCCTGGATCACAGTCTCAGCCCTGAGCAGCAAATGTGCTGTCTGAGAATGTTGATGTGAATACTGACACCCGCCAAAGGGTCTTCTCGACGGGGTGCCGGAGTGGGGGAAGGGCGCACCGGGGCCGTAGGACCCAGGGACCCGGGCCCGCAGTGAGCACCACCGCCAGCAGGGGACGCCTCGAGACCGCGGAACTCGTGCCCGGGGGCCTGACGTCAGCGCCCCGCTCGCTCGGGCTCCCGCTCTGGACTCGGCGCCAGTCCCGCTCCGCGCGGCGCTGCTCCGCTACGGCTCCCGCTTGCCTTGGGCTCGGACTCCGGCTCCTGTGGCGTCGCCTTCCCAGCAGTGGGTCCCCAGGACCGAGGCGGCGGCGCCCCAGCCATGGCCCGTGCTCAGGCTCTGGTCCTGGCACTCACCTTCCAGTTCTGTGCGCCGGAGACCGAGACTCCCGCAGGTAAGCGCGCGTGGTCCCTCCGAGCTCATCCCTCGAGCCGGGGATGGCTCGTCGAGCGTGTGCGGAGTGCGGGATGCTCGGTCGTATGTTCCGAGTGTTT